GGTTTTTGATCAAAATGGGAAAATAATTTAAGGCACAAAACAAACCTGTTTAATATGCCTGGAATTCCATACAAATAGCAGACCTGAATGACATTTTAAGGGATTTCAAACAAGCTTAGTTGACTAACAAACTGTTAAAAACTATTGTCATTCTTTTTCCTTTCACTCCCTGTGTTGTAGACTCAGCAGGGAAAGAAAGGGAATATATTTCCATTGTGAGGAAAATCCCCTCTTAGACAGTTGTCATGTGAACAAATGTCACCATTGGAAGATTTCCACTCTTTCCTGTTCTAGTGACAATTCAACATTTTGGATTTACCTTTTCATTCTTGGCGACATTGGTGAACATTGGTAGAAACACTGAATATCCCTAATGTAGATGCCGACGGCAATAACCGTGACAAAAGTTTTAACTTCTTACCACAATAGCTAAGAAGAAAAGTTTTGCCTTTAGTTATACTTTAGGATTGTGAGTTTGAAAATGCTGAGGATCTTATGATAACTTCTTAAAATACAAGTGGAAGCAGTGGGTTCAGGTGCACTCAAGAAGTTATTGTGAAAATGTAAAGATATCTGAAAAAAAGTCAATAAAAGAACAAAATATATAATCCATAATCCAAGGCATTACCCATTGTACAGAGCATGCCTCAACAAAATGTAACTAAGCTGCTTCACGTTCACATATAATGCCCCCTCCCATTTATCACCCACAGCAACTATACTGTATGCTCTTGGAGACCAACCCTGGGCTTTAGAGTTGGCCTACATGTCTCAACCCCTTTTTTCCATTGGAGAATCCTTGCACCAAACAAAATGGTATAAATACCTTTTTTTAGGTGCTTTCAGCCTAATCCAGGTATGTCAAACATCCTCTTCACCCTCTTCTTCCTTCAGTGGTGGATGAATCTTAAATGGTGCAAAAAGCAGCGCCACATCATGAATTTCAGATGATTTCTGCAGAAGTCCATAGCAGGGGCAAACTTTTTCTCTTCTTTGCAGATGCAACAGACTTGATTCATGGCTCTATATATCTATAGATAAAAATGCCCTCCCTAATCAGTAGCATGAATAACATACATAGAGATTTAAAATTCACATACTAAAGAAGCGAACCAGAGAAGTGGTCAAGGTACTAGATGGAGTGGGCACCCAGATGAACTAAGACGAAAATGGCAATACCAAATTAAAAACAGCATCGGGGCAAGAGGAAAGGTAAGTGACAATGAATACCAGGTCAGAAACAGTCCTAGTAAGCAGCTACCAAGCCATCTGACAATAGCAAAGTACATCCATTTGATAACTAACTCTATTGTAGATAATGATACTATGGATAAATGTTTCTTTTAAATAGGAAAGAAAAAAGGTTTGCATTACCCACAAAAGGGGTGTTCTCTCATTATGTGTGTATGAACAAAGAGAATATGCATGTACATCATGACACTAACAAGCACATATGCTTCTGAAAACCTGTTTATACTTGAGCATAAACAGGGTGATTATTAGCTTGTGGATGTTCAGAAGATGGTGAAGGACCAGAGAAAGGTAATGGTCCTGTGAAAGAATAAAAAATTATACATAGCATTTCAGTAACAAGACATGCCCAGCTCAAGCCAAAACCTTTTTTTATAGAGTGAAAAACCGCTGTCAAGCTTTTACTGCTCCAGAACAACTTACAGAAAGAGCTGGTGGGAATTTCTAAGCTTTCATGTGTAGTCAGACAAAAGAATACATCAAACAAACTCTGGCAAGGCAGCTCCCACACAGCAAAGCTTCCCTCAATGGGCACCTGAAGTCACTCAAACCATACAAACACAGAAAGTAGCACCAGATCAAAACTAGAAGAAATAGTTCAACATCACTTTAATTGTTTGTAAATAAGTCACATAAAACAGCTAATATGTCTCTGGGCAACACCCTTGCCTCTTTCATTAGGATTCAACATAGGGGCAAAACTTGGATGGACTTACTGAGTAACAACTCGACATAATTTTCTGCTAACTTGTCACATCCAACATTGGTGCCCAGGCTGTACATGTGCAGGCCAAACTGCACCCAAAATGACATCCAGACAGATGTCATGGCTTCCCCCAAGCCATCCGGTGGGAGCTAACAATTAAGACAGAAGAGGTGGGTAAGAAGACAGGAAAGAGCCCAGCACCACTACTTAGCAGGCAGGGGGGGAGGGAAGATTTTACCATCTCCCACACACAATCCTGTGGCTGGCAAGCTGCAGGGGACACAGATGAATAGTTCCCTCTGCTTGAAACCCATACCCCTTCATTAGGAAACAGAGACTGCCGCCCATGGAGACAATAGACAGGCTACAAGGTCTATTGCCCATCCCCACATGTTACAACAAAACAAAAAAAAAAATCATGAAAACATAAAAGAAAAGATATATTAACAGTAATCATACAATGATTACTGTATTACAGTGCTATGTACAAATTTGAATCCATCCCCATAAAATACAAAAAGGATCAGTTTGGTGTAGCAATACCCCACAGGAGATGCTGGAAATGTTTGCTCTCATACTGTTTCAAGTGATGACTTGCCTGTAACTGGACAAAGCAATGTACAGACACACCAGTATCAGAAGTTTATTAAGGCAGGAACAAATCCCACAAATGGATAATAGCAAATCCATAGGAGAAAATGAGTAGTGCAGAACAACCACAAGATAAAGTGAGTACAAGGGGCAGACTGACCATTTTGGAACTCAGGTGCTGCCTAAGGGCCCAGGGTCAGTAGGGGCCCCATGAGATGCCCCTGGTACCTTTCATGGGCTTTTTTGGGTGTGATTTGTGTGTGGGCGAGGACACAGGGGCCCCATGATCCCCTATTGCCTGGAGGCCCCATGAGTTGTCAGTCCGCCCCTGGTGAGCACATTAACAATTTGTTTCTTTTGCCATTTGTGAGAAGCCTTGTCTCAAACGCATTAGGTGAGCAGAAATGGACACTACAAGCAATACAAAACAATTAGTGAAACAAAATATCCCCAATATGGATTCAGAGAAATAATGGAAACTACTGGGTCCAAACTACATTCTTTAGACACTGAATAGCCACTGTGTAAGGCATACCGAGTGCATGTATCCAGCAATAGCAGAAGTTACTTAGGTAACTGAAACCAGACTGTGTATGATGAAAGTAAGATTTTTTAATAATTACACAAAATCCATTCAACACCAACAAACATAATACACAGCAAAAATAAACATATACATGAACCATAAACCAGGTGATGAAATATCTATCTATACAACCGAACTATAATACAATATATACAAAATGGGGAACACGAATAAACAGGGTTAAAACGGAGCTGGAAGGAGTTGGATCACTGGTATCAGGAAAGAGGGGAGCAGATATAAAGTAGCAGGGCACAAAATTCAGGTACTGGAACAGAATCACAGCAGAAATCAGGATAATGGTCAGAAGCAGCATATCAATAACCAGGTAGACAGCACACAGGCAACATCCTGAGCCAGTGAAGGAAGTTAGGGAAAGGGTTATATACCTTCCCAGAAGCCAGCATCAAATAGAGACTGACTACTGGGATCAGACTCATTACTGGGAGATACCTGCTGGTGGCCACCAGAACTACACCTTTCTTCTTTGGGAACCACAATGCCACCAGCAGGTGAATCAGGTCCTGACAGATTGTCACAAAGTAGCGGGACAGATTGTCTGGCAGCGGGACCCTTTAAACTCAATGGTGGATCTCTCAAGCTTCATGTGAAAGTATTTGTAGACCACAAGGGTAAAGACACAGTATCTTCACAAAATATCCCAAACAATCAACAGTAAATAGGTGCAGGGTATCCCAGCTCAGCAGCCAAAAAGGAAGCTTCTTCTTTCTCCTCTCCCTGGTTATCTATGAATCTCCTCCTGGTGTGGTCCAACTGCCAGCCTCATCCAAGATTGTGTCCCTTGGGGTTCTCTAACTCTTCTCTCTGCCAGTTCTGCAGGCTGCTACATTTCTCAAATGCATCACATCTGCTCCACTGCAGTCTGGTGGGTGGGGCCAAGTCTGACTGCAAAACAGTCATTCACATTTCTACTCTCCTCCCTCACTGCCACACTGTCCTAGCAAGGAGGGGGGCAGAGGTTGTGATGTGGTCACGAGAATGCCCAGGATAAAAGAATATAATAGAAAATAAAATAATAGAATAGAAAATAAAGGAATAGAATACAGTAGAAAAGAATAGAACTGAAAAAATAGAACTGAAAAAAATAGAATAGAATGAATATATCCATTTTTGAATATGAATATGACCATAAGACTCACCTAGGTTTTAGAGGAGGAAAACAAGAAAAAAACTATTCTGAACCAATGGACTGCAGACACAGTACAGGAGATGACCAGAGACTGCGGACACAGTACAGGAGATGACCAGAGACTGCGGACAACAGTACAGGAGATGACCAGAGACTGCGGACACGGTACAGGAGATGACCAGAGACTGCAGACACAGTACAGGGGATGACCAGAGACTGCGGACACAGTAGAGGGGATGACCAGAGACTGCGGACACAGTACAGGGGATGACCAGAGACTGCAGACATAGTACAGGAGATGACCAGAGACTGCGGACACAGTACATGGGATGACCAGGGACTGCAGATAGTACATGGGATGACCAGAGACTGCAGACAGTACAGGAGATGACCAGAGATTGTGGACATAGTATAGGAGACGACCAGGAGAGAGACTGCGGACATAGTACAGGAGATGACCAGAGACTGCAGACAGTACAGGAGATGATCAGAGACTGCAGATAGTACATGGGATGACCAGAGACTGCAGACAGTACAGGAGATGACCAGAGATTGCGGACATAGTATAGGAGACGACCAGAGACTGTGGACAGTGCAGGAGATGACCAGAGACTGCAGACATAGTACAGGAGATGACCAGAGACTGTGGACAGTACAGGGCATGACCAGAGACTGCGGAGATAGTACAGGAGATGACCAGAGACTGCGGATATAGTACAGGAGATGACCAGAGACTGCGGACACAGTACAGGGGATGACCAGAGACTGCAGACAGTACAGGGGATGACCAGAGACTGCGGACAGTACAGGAGATGACCAGAGATTGCGGACATAGTATAGGAGACGACCAGAGACTGTGGACAGTGCAGGAGATGACCAGAGACTGCAGACATAGTACAGGAGATGACCAGAGACTGGACAGTACAGGGCATGACCAGAGACTGCGGAGATAGTACAGGAGATGACCAGAGACTGCGGATATAGTACAGGAGATGACCAGAGACTGCGGACACAGTACAGGGGATGACCGGACACAGTACAGGGGATGACCAGAGACTGCAGACAGTACAGGAGATGACCAGAGATTGTGGACATAGTACAGGAGATGACCAGAGACTGCAGACAGTGCAGGAGATGACCAGAGACTGTGGACATAGTACAGGAGATGACCAGAGACTACGGACAGTACAGGAGATGACCAGAGACTGTGGACAGTGCAGGGGATGACCAGAGACTGCACACAGTACAGGAGATGACCAAGAGACTGCGGACAGTACAGGGGATGACAAGAGACTACAGCCAGTACAGGGGATGACAAGAGACTGCAGCCAGTACAGGGGATTACCAGAGACTTCAGACAGTACAGGGGATGACCAAAGACTGCAGACAGTACAGGGGATGACCAAGAGACTGCGGACCTTTGGGGAGGGAGGGGGAGCGGGTACCTGAATTTGACAGGTACCCACTCCCACTTCTGTGGAGTTGTCCTCCCTGTAGTGCGAGAAGCGCTGCGCTTTGTGATTGGTCCGGAGTCTTCTGGGACCTGTCATGTGTCCCAGAAGATGCCGGACCATTCACAAAGTCACAGTCGGGGTGCCCACACTAAAGATGCCAGAAGACTACAGCGCTGGACCGAAGAACAGATATGTTTCTGCTGTAGAGAAGAGACGAGCGGCCTGCCCGATATTCTGACATGGTGGCGGCAGCGGAAATACCGGACCAGCTGCTCCATATTCGCTCCATAGGACGCACTGACATTTTCCCCCCTTTTTTGGGGGGAAAAGTGCGTCTTATGGAGCAAAAAATATGGTACCTCTAATAATAATCAAGGCAATTGTGAAAAGAGGAACTTCTGCAAGCTGCATTTAACATTAATTGTAAATATATAGATGCAAACCAGTATGGAAATAATACAAGTTTTACATAAGAAAAGATACAAGATACAAGTTGTACATACATCCAATGTACAAACAGGTATTATTAGAAACGGGCCCGATTGAACTCCTAGTAGAATTGTGCAAATATACCCAGGTGTATATAGTTATTATTGGGAGATATCTTCAGATGTATGTTGCAGCAAACTTCAGTTGCAGTGGCCCTTGAGGATGATCGTGATGTGCCGTCTGTCTTTGTCTTTGTTTTGAAGAACTGAAGTCAAGTACAGCAGTGATGGGGAGGTCCTACAACTGTTGTCCAACCAGCCTGGAAGACATCTTCATACATGTCAAAACTGTGGTGGCACTGGAACTCAGAGTCAGTTTATCTATTCTGTGCTTTAGTCCCTCCTTAACAGTTTCTAATCTGACAAGCATCCAGATTTATAACTACCATAGAACCTGGCTCTATCCTATGCTAGTTATCGAGCCATAAGCTAAAAACTAGCTATAGACCAGAAGAAAAAGGGTTAACTAAAAAAACAGGAGCTGCATATAAACTCTATTGCAATAAACAGGCCCACCTACTAATATACTGAAAAGTGACGAATACATACATAGCGTAGCATGGATCTAGCTGTCTGACACTTTGCAAGTGAGATACTATCAATAGAACAGAAATACTTTGGGGTTGGTTTACCAAAACTGGAAAGTGCAAATCTGGTGGAGATCTGCATAGAAATTAATTAGCTTTAGGGCTTTTTTTTGTCAAAGCTTAATTGAACAAGCTGAAGTTAGAAGCTGATTAGCTAACATACACACCTGCACCAGATTTGCACTCTCCGGTTTTAGTCAATCAACAACTTTGTCTGTCACAAGGATTCAGAAACACACTCAAGAAACTATGGGCAACTGCAGTTAAATTATTGGAACATAGGAATACTTGCATAATAGTCTCTTCTGGTCTGGATTTAGCAGCATTGACAAGACATGTGGCTGAGACATTCAATCTCTCAACTTTCTCCTTCTGGCACTTTTCAAAGCCAGCCTCCAGGACACAGGAAGTGCTAATACATCATTATACATAACACTGTGATATTAGAAGCTAATAGTAGAGGGCAGCATATCTCTGCCCTCACACCAGACATCCCAAAAATATTGCTACACTGAAACAGTTTTGTGAAGAGGAGTGGTCCAAAATTACTCCAGATCGTTGTGCAGGTCTGATCTGCAACTACAGGAAACGTTTGGTTGAGGTTATTGCTGCCAAAGGAGGGTCAACCAGTTATTAAGTCCAAAGGTTCACATACTTTTTCCTCCCTGCACTGTGAATGTTTACATGTTATGTGCAATTAAACCATGGCAACATCGAATGTTTGTATAGTATTATGTTCAGCAGACTGTGTTCTGCTATTGTTGTGACTTAGATGACGTTCAGAGCACATTTTATGCCCAATTCATGCAAAACTCCACGTAATCCCAAGGGGTTCACATACTTTGTCTTGCAACTTTATGTTTGGGATGTCAATTTCTATCTGTTGCCTTTTGCCAGGTGAATGTAATATTCTCTTATCAATCGATCCTAAGAGAAAATAGCCATAAGAACATTTGACCATAGGAGTTTAAAGAACATTCACCAATAGAGAAAATAGCCTATCATTATAGGCTATGAAAATTCAACCAGAAGGGGAACCAATATAAAGGAAACCTCAGCACTGTGCACACAGTCTATGGAAATATCTGTGCAAAAAGCCAAAAGAATGGGTGTTCGGGTGAACAAATCTCCATCTGCAGTGTGAAGTGAAACATTTAGCAGCAGTAATATTACCACTGATAAACATGACAGGTTCCTTCCCAGGGCTCCAGGTTGATTGAAGCTGGCACCCGCTGATGTCCTAACAACCAATAACTTATCCCTGCTTGGAACATTTAGCTGTCATCTGTGAATTCCTGGCTACTTACTAATTGCAAACAAAAAGATATTGTAAAAAAAAAATAAATTTTCTTCAGTTCTGATTTTGATTTTAAGGGGGACCCCATGCAACCCCCCCCAAAAAAAATGAATACTAGACCCTTGTCATGGCCTCGTCATGTGTCTTGCTGGGCCCCCACCAGCAAGTAGCTTTGTCCTCATATTGATGAGGACCAGGGCCTCCTCCCCACAACACTGACCTGGTAGATGTGGGAGGCTGTGGATAAGGGGCTTATCAGACTCTGGAAGCCACCTTTAACAATAAGGGTGCCCCGAGAATCTGCCCCCAATGGGGTTAGAGAGTATCCCTACTCATTGCAAAAAAAAATCAATAGTATATAAACACACACAGTTTTTGACAAGCCCTTTGTTACAAAAAATAACAAATATGATGATGAAATGATATAAATCCTCCTTCAATCACATCATCCAGTGATAAAGATCCATGTCAATCACAATCCCAACAAAGGATACAAATCTGCTTCAGGTTCGAACCTATCTGAACAAGTTCCTTGACTCTTTCCAGATCATCTCCTGGTTCACCAGTGGCCACCAGCATCCTAACCTGTGACATCTCTCTGCCCACCCTAATTGAGCTACCAACAAGGGATTTTCAGCTGAAAGGTAAATGTAAACAAAGGGTGGGGATAGTTTAAAGAAATAAGAAATGATGTGGTGCCTCCTCCCAAAATTCATGCCTTTATGGTCTGGTATGGATTTTAAGGGGGAACATACTAGTGACCTAGGATGCAATACTTTATATTCTAGAAAATAATGAACCTGGAATGGCAGTAGACAGTGTGTGTAGGAGTGGGGAGGCAGAGGGTGTGACAGTGGGCAGTATGTGTATGTGTAGGAGAGGAATGCGAAGGATATACTAGAGGTCATTATGGGCAGTATAAAAGTACAGAGGGTATGACGGAGAGGTAGATGCAGAAGAGCAGTGTGGAGAGTATGAAAGAGATAGTATGTGCATTAGATAAGTGTGGAGGGTATGACAGGGAGACGAATGTGCAGGAGAGCAGTGTGGAGGGTATGACAGGTTGAGATATATGCAGGAGAGCAGTGTGGAGGGTGTGACATGGAGAGGTATATGCAGGAGAGCAGTGTGGAGGGAATGACAGGTTGAGATATATGCAGGAGAGCAGTGTGGAGGGTGTGACAGGGAGAGGTAGATGCAGGAGAGCAGTGTGGAGGGTGTGACAGGGAGAGGTATATGCAGGAGAGCAGTGTGGAGGGAATGACAGGGAGAGGTATATGCAGGAGAGCAGTGTGGAGGGTATGACAGGGAGAGGTATATGCAGGAGAGCAGTGTGGAGGGTATGACAGGGAGAGGTATATGCAGGAGAGCAGTGTGGAGGGTATGACAGGGAGAGTATGTGCATTAGAGCAGTGTGGAGGGTATGACAGGGAGAGGTATATGCAGGAGAGCAGTGTGGAGGGTATGACAGGTTGAGTATATGCAGGAGAGCAGTGTGGAGGGTGTGACATGGAGAGGTATATGCAGGAGAGCAGTGTGGAGGGAATGACAGGGAGATATATGTAGGAGAGCAGTGTGGAGGGTGTGACAGGGAGAGGTAGATGCAGGAGAGCAGTGTGGAGGGTATGACAGGGAGAGGTATATGCAGGAGAGCAGTGTGGAGGGAATGACAGGGAGAGGTATATGCAGGAGAGCAGTGTGGAGGGTATGACAGGGAGAGGTATATGCAGGAGAGCAGTGTGGAGGGTATGACAGGGAGAGGTATATATGCAGGAGAGCAGTGTGGAGGGTATGACAGAGATAGGTATATGCAGGAGAGCAGTGTGGAGGGTATGACAGGGAGAGGTATATGCAGGAGAGCAGTGTGGAGGGTGTGACAGGGAGAGGTATATGCAGGAGAGCAGTATGGAGAGTGTGACAGGGAGAGGTATATGCAGGAGAGCAGTGTGGAGGGTGTGACAGGGAGAGGTATATGCAGGAGAGCAGTGTGGAGGGTGTGACAGGGAGAGGTATATGCAGGAGAGCAGTGTGGAGGCTGTGACAGGGAGAGGTATATGCAGGAGAGCAGTGTGGAGGGTGTGACAGGGAGAGGTATATGCAGGAGAGCAGTGTGGAGGGTGTGACAGGGAGAGGTATATGCAGGAGAGCAGTGTGGAGGGTGTGACAGGGAGAGGTATATGCAGGAGAGCAGTGTGGAGGGTATGACAGGGAGAGGTAGATGCAGGAGAGCAGTGTGGAGGGTGTGACAGGGAGAGGTATATGCAGGAGAGCAGTGTGGAGGGAATGACAGGGAGAGGTATATGCAGGAGAGCAGTGTGGAGGGTATGACAGGGAGAGGTATATGCAGGAGAGCAGTGTGGAGGGTGTGACAGGGAGAGGTATATGCAGGAGAGCAGTGTGGAGGGTATGACAGGGAGAGGTATATGCAGGAGAGCAGTGTGGAGGGTATGACAG